CTCTTGGTAGGGATGTGGAACAAAAACACATTTTCCTTGTCTCCGTACATAAAGTACGAACTGTGCTCAGGGAATTCGTGGTTGTCAAAATGCTTGTAATGTGGAACGTCCATGATTTTCATGTTTGGGCTCATTAATGGATGGTTGCTGTTATCAGAAGGAAGGCTAATGAAACAGTCGAACTCTTCCAGTTCACCGGAGTACCCTGTATTCTTGAAGAAGACATCATAAAGTCTTTGCTTTTTGCTTCGAAAGACAATAGGTTGAGGAACATTCCACTTTAACAGCATTTTCTGTGTCGTGATGTACTTCTGGGCGTCTTTGTCACACATGAATTTTAACTTAACAATCGCGTCGTACTGTTTCGGGACTCTCTTAAAGTCTCCTACATAATAGGCGATCACTTCATTCTGTTCATTGACAACACCAGTGCTGACAAAGTTGTGGAGTGCAATAGGATCAGTAACCTAAAAGGGGAGATCGACATAAATTGATACATCTTTGATATACGGCTGCCAATCTGCAACTTAACTTGTACTTATCTCGTATCACTTATCTCGTAGTTTCTACAAGACGCGTGTATCTGGTGTTATAGCGTATTGTATTAACCGTCCTAAACTAAACTAATAGCCTTTTAAGTTCATTGTATTCGGCGCTCGATCACAGAGTCATTCATCAGAAATGGCTACAATAACCTCACTCGCCTGGTGATTATTGGGGGAGATGAGGAGGGCCTGGACCAATCAGAGTACGCGAAATTCTACAACCACATGAGTATTAGAGCGTTTTCACTCACGTGGTCAGCATAGAAGAAAAGATTTCAACTCCCTCGGGATAAGCTTGGAACACTAACATGACCGCCGTTTCATCGGTTTTGGAACACAAAAATAGCCGCAGTGATGTGTAATCGCTCTAATATACTGAAACCATTTTATATGAAATATGCAACTAAAGACGATTTTGAAAATGGTAGCCTAGATAATATGGGGAGTTTGGGAACTTTAATAATCTATATATTTACTCTCCCTCAGGTATAAAAGCGTTTGAGATATCATCATGTATTAAAAACCTTATTTGTACAAAAAGATATCAGTAATTTTAAAATCATACAACAGATTCTTTCCTAACTTCGTTAAATGTTATAATCAAAACCTTCTGCTTGGTAATATATTCAAGTTTTCTGGCTTTTTTTTTTTTTACATTGTCACAGGATTAGTTTGCCACTCGGCGGCTAATTGAAAATAAAAACGTGTAAATCAATTGCCTTTGTGAAATAGAACTGATACAGTCATTTCAACTTTGCACAAAGCCTTGACATGGAAATCGCGATCTATAAAAACATGACGAAAACGCTAATAAATAGATTTAAGCCGTGCACCTTAACTGAATTTTAACGATCTAATATATTATCTCAAAGGCAACATATCTGTACGTTCTAAGCCGTACTTTATGTATAATGAAGCACTTGCAATTTGATTACATCTGAGTTGGCCCTTACCCTTCCAACGGCGCACAAAATACTATTTCTCATGATAGAAGCCACGCGCTTCATGAACTCTGTTGATGTGGCCCAGGGATCCATGCAGGTTGTAATGATGTATTTGACTGGCGTGTCATTGTTTGAGTTAAGCTAGATCAAGGAGGGAAAAAAGGGATCTGAGTGTAAATCAGTTAGCGAAAAAAAGGCACTCAATAAATCATATGACAGTATAAATTCAATACATATTATAGCACTAAGTGACGAAATTTTACACGCGCATATTTCTTTTCACTTTTCATTGGTGCGGTTTAAAAATAAAAAAAAACAGTTCTTCAAATATTCAAAATTTCCTGAAAGATGACCCCAAGATTTTTCTCTCTTCTAGCCAATCCAATCCTGGATAAAACCGACGACGTTAGCCTGATATTTACGTAATAGTTACGCAGTGTTTAACTGATGGCAATAAGCATGACTGGTTAGGATAGAAAAGTATCAAACCACCGATATGGTAAAGTCTAATGAATTCACGTAACAATATAATCTCCCGTTAGTTTCAAAACAAAATACTTAGCTTATGTTTTGCCAAATATTTAACCCAGTTTCAACTCAGTGTCATATATTTAATGAGATTTTACCCCTAATCGTCTCTTGAAATTTGTAGCTGCAACACTGTGGACGTGGGACACTAGACTTGAAGAGGTAACAAGCATTGGAATACGAAGCGCTGAATGTTCCCCTGATGTGTGACTGAGGCTTTCGAAGATCGCTGTGTTGATTGCATTGCACACTTCAACGTTTTGGTTTCCTTTCAAGTTTACAGAGAAACACGGTATCAAGGTGTCAGGACCCACTTCTTTAAGGTAAATCATAGCCTCATCATCCTAAGCGACAAACAAGTTGAAACAGTATTAGCATTGCTGTGTCGGTACGGAATTAAATCACAAAAATACAGCAATACAGTTTAACAGGTTAAAAGATTTACCCGCGCTAGTTCTTCGTTGCTTTTTCCGAGAATTCGTCCCCTAATAAATTTGATATGCTCCTCCTCTGACCAGTTATTCATATTGGATAATGGTTTCGTTGTTTTAATAACAAAAATGTCGTCCTCTTTGGCTAGTGCTGCCCACTGACAGTACAGGATCTTTGACGTAAACATGCACAAAGCCAGGATACGACGGTAACCGTGAAGACCAATGACCTGTGAAAACAAGAAAACGAAATAAGGAAAACTATGCCATTGTAAGGACAAGCAGTTGAGAAACAGCTTATATTCTTGTTGTGGCAAATGAAACACTGCATGAAATGTCTGCTTGGATAAATGCATGAAATAACGTGATAATAGGGATTGGGTGGGGATCTGGTGAGGTCTTGTGTTGGACGTCCCGCTCATCCGGAAAGTGACTTGCATTCAAAAACTTCTCCTTTCCATAGTGTAGTGATCGCCGCGTAGCCACCGTCTGGATTGCCAGGTACAAAGGCTATCATTGTAAGGCTATTTCTAAGGCTTCAAAAACGTGTCCACAGCCGCGCCTACAAGGAGATTCCCCGTTCTCGCGGAGACTGCTATTGTGGCGCCACCGGGTGCCCGACCGGATAACTGGGCTGGGCAGGCCTAGGCTGAGCCCTCAACCCTGGTTGTAAATCTGCCTAGAAGAAGAAAATTTCTCATTTCGAAACTCGGGCAGATGAAGCTCGGCAACCATGGCACGCAATTCCTCTAGGACAAGGCGTAAGTCTGAGGTAACACCCTCGAAGTGTCCAGGGGTGATGGACAGACTGGGAGGGCAAAGATCCTTGGTCCATGAAAGCCCTAAGGTTCCAGCATCCGTGCCCCGGCCATTGGAGTATGGCTCCGCTGCCTTGTGGAATATCTGGGAGGAGGAAAGGCTAAGGAGTAAACCCTGCAGAAATCCGGAGAGGATCCCCTAAGGCGGTTCATTGTGAACATGATTACCTGCCAACAGCTCCGGAAGTCAAGCTGGTGCCAAATATTTTGCTCTGCTCTCCTTTGGACTACGTCAGTGAGGCCGAGAGGTGGATCCTGACGACTGGGCATCCCAGTCTCCCCAACACGGGAGGCAGCAGTTACGGGTTATACGTCCAGGCCTACTGGCGTAGGTCCATGCGCTACAGGTTGCCTCCGACGGTGGGAGGGATCATCGCGTCCCACCGGTCAGCTACCACCCGCCTCAAGCTGGGCACCCTCCAGCCAGTAAGGTGCTGACTCGCCACAGTCTGCCTGCTTCATTACGTGCTTGAAGCTTAGGGGAAATCCTTTTGATCTCAAAGGCTCAATATCGACATCGCTTCACTGCAGGAGACTAGACTCCCATCAGACGGCAGCCTCAGATAACAGGACCACACTTTCTTTTAACAAGGGAAGGAGCCAGAGGACCCAAAGTTGCTGGGCGTTGTATTTGCAGTGAGAAATTCTCCCCTGTCCCGTACAAAGCCGCACCATCCAAAGGCACAGCCCGTATTCTCTCTCCTCGCTTCTCCAGCTTCTCAGACCCAGTGATCATCCCGAGCATTTACGCTCCATCAATCTGCTCTTCAGCCGAGGTCAGGGATGAGTTTTATTAGGAACTAGAGACAACCATCAGAGAGATTCCTGCCACGTAATACCTGTTCTTGCTCTGGGACCTCACCGCCCGTGTGGGAGCTGACCACGACTCTTGGCCCCGCAGCATCGGCCACTTTGGCGTCGGCAAGTTGAACGAGGACGGTCAGAGAGTATTGTAGCTGTGCTCTTCCCACAACATCTGCATAACCAACACCTTATTCTCAACCACGTTTAGCCACAGAGTATCTTGGCGGCACCCCAGATCCAGTCACTGGCACCAGCTGGATCTTGTTATCACTCGAAGACCCTTCTCAACTGCATCCTCAGTACCCGCAGTTACCACAGCGCTGACTGTGACAGCGACCACTGTCTAGTTGGCACCAAGGTGCGTTCTCAACCCAAACGAGTCAACCGCTCCACGCAGAAAGGACGCCCACGCATCACCACAGCCAGGAAAGCAATCCGAGACCTGTGTGAGGGCTCCGCCGACTTCACTGAAGAGGCCCTGAGGGACTGCCACACAACAAGCCCTGAAAAAAGATGGAACCACATCCGTGTCACTACCTACAAATCAGCCATGGACACCTTCGGCAATAGAGAGCGGCAGAACGCAGACTGATTTCAAGCTGGCGTTGCCGAACTCGAGCCAGCAATTGCGGCGAAGCGAGCAGCACTGCTCGAGACCCTTTGATTAGACACTCTTTGCACTCAGGACGGCCGGGAACGATGTCCAACGGATCGCTCGACGCCGCGCCAACGACAACCGGCTGAATCTCTGTCAAAGCATCCAACTATCCGCTGACTGTGGGAACATCCGCACCATGTATGATAGCATAAAGAAAGCCTTCGGTCTAAGCGCCACCAAAACTGCACCCTTGAAGTTATCTGCTGTTGGCATCATTACAGACTGGGGGAAACAGATAGAGAGATGAGGAGAACACTACCAAGAGCTCTACTCAAGGGAGAATATCGTCACTGACGCAGCAGTTGAGAGTATCATCCTCCTGCCTGTCATGGAAGATTTTGACGGTCCACCCTCAGTAGACGAACTCCGCAAAGCAATCAACGGTCTAGCCTGAGTTAAAGCACTAGGCAACGACGACATCCCACCAGAGTTCATCAAGGCTGGCAAGAACACTGCTCTCCTTCATCATCTGCACGACCGCCTGCTACAGTGCTGGGAGGAACGGTAACGTGACACCAACATCATCACGCTCTACACGAAAAAGGAAGACCGCAGCGACTGCAACAACTATCGTGGAATATCCCTCCTCAGACTGCGAGATTGCTCTACAGAATTATCAAATTCACCGCTGTGATCTGAGTGACTTGATAAGAGGCGGTGGTGTTGCCATGTATGTGAGCTGTGCTCTTCCCTGCCGTAGGATTCACCTGCTGGATCCATCTACAACTGACCTCGAACATCTTTGCTTAGAGACCAAGCAACATCGTTTGGGGACAAAGATTTTTTTTATTATTATCTACCGCCCGCCAAACTCAAATCCTGATTTCTGTATGTCCCTGGAGAAAATGATAGACGTTTCTACGAGCACATATAACGAAGTAATTGTGGTTCGAGACTTCAGTGTTGACCTGATAACAGTTAAAGGGTCCTGTAGGCTATCCACAATATTCCAAGATGCAGGGATGGAACAGATAATATCTGCTTCCACCCCCACAAGAGTTACCCGATATTCGGCTCCGCTGCTAGATCATGTTTATGTTACGCATCCTGAACAAATCATCGAAAGCCCATATATGTCCCAATATATGGACCAAGTGACCATTATCCGATGTGCTTCGTACACAGGTCTCGTGGCCCTAAATCGCCAAAATCGTATCATGACACCATTAAATAAGGAGCTCCAAGAATTTTGGCAGGGATAGTTTTATTTACGATCTATACACTTCTCCATGGACGCTGCTTGACATGTCTGAAAATGTAGATGACAAGCTGGACACGTGTACGAACTCACGACAAGAACTCAGGGGAAACTGTTCGCCGATTGGGCACAATAATACAAAGCATTTTTGTGCCAAATCAGGAGCCAGCATTCGCTTGACCGTTTGGAAATGGTCCGGTGAGAGTTGGTACCCAAGGGCTCTTCCGCCTGTGCTTGAAAACTTTCGTCGGGCCTTTTCTCCCGGCCCGACTGCCTGCCCCTGGGTCTCCGAGGATGTGCTAGCCGATGGTTCACTTCAAATCAAATGGTCCCTAACGCAAAGAAGACAAAACCACTCCTCATTGCCACACGACAGAAACTGCAACATGTGAATCAGCCAACCTTGGATCTTTTCTTGACCGACAACCGTTTAGAAGAGCCGAGAATGAAAATTCCTGGGCGCCAGGATGGACAATCACCTTACCTGGCACAGCCATATCGAATACTTAATTGGGAAACTGAACTCAAGAAGTTATTTACTTAAAAGAGCCAAAGGCTACCTCAATCTCCACTGCAGAAAATTGTTATTCAATGCATTCGTGAAGCCTATCTTTGAATACTGTTGCTCGGTTTGGGGTAATGCCCCAAACGACCAGTTGTTGAGAATTCTTAGAGTTCAAAAACGCTGGGGTAGATTAATACTAGATGCCAGGCTATTAGATAATTCCGCACAAATGTTCCAGAAACTACAGTGGGGGCCGATTGACAACATAATGCGCATAAAAAATATGTCTATGATGTTCAAAATTGTGAACAAGGAATGTCCAGATTATTTCAAAAGTTATAGAACATATAAAAAATGCCCATAGCTATAACACTCGCTTATCTTCTAATAATGCCTTGGCTGTACCGAAAGGCTTGTCTAACGCGGGTCTGCGAACATTTAATGCGAGCGCGACTCGCCTTTGGAATCGTCTAGACGACAAGCTTAAAAACATGACAAATGAAAGTAACTTTAAGAAACATTTGCTCGAGATATTCTTAAACATTAATGCAAGTCACAAACATTTTAGTATTACAAGGACATTTTAAGGTACCTTTTTTGTTTTTTTTTTTTTATCTCGATTGTACTGTACTAATTAGGTAACTATTTTTAACCATTTTCAATTTTTTACCCTTTTACTTCCTTTTACGTTATCTTTTATATTTTAGAATTATTTGTAGATTGGGCCCACAATGTAAACTACAGGGCTAGCCAGTAATTGTAAAAGCCATTTAAGTTCTATTTATTTATTTACTTATTTATTTATTTAGTATCATTGGGAAGGCCTTTGCCCATGTAGCGGTGAGCGGGTTGCAGTCGTTATCAGAACGGATGTACCCTGAGACGCAGTTCGGGCCCAGAGCAGGAAGATCAACAATGGACATGATCTTTTCATTGAGGCAGCTGTAGGAAAGATGTCGCAAGCATAGCAAGCCCTTATACATCGCTTGTATTGACCTGACTAAGGCCTTTGATCTAGTCACCAGGAAAGGCCTATTCCCTCTTCTGCAGAGGATTGGATGTCCCCGAAGCTCGTAAGGATGATCGCGTCTTTTCATGAAGACTAGCAAGGTGCCGTCCAGTACGACGGCTCATCCTCGGACCCCTTTCTAATCAAGAGCAGAGTGAAACAGGGCTTCGCGTGTACTCGTTCCCGAACTCTTCGACACCTTTTTCTCTCTACCGCTGTCCTACACCTTCAGCCAGTCAGGTGTGTAAATCCACACCTCTTCAACCTTGCACGCCTCCAAGCAAAGGCCAAGGTGCGGAAGTTAATGATTTATTTATTCACTTATTTTATTAACATTATTTAGTCAGAGATGTCCGAATGGGCTCTGAGTCAATAGCCCATGAGGCCGAAGGCTGAGTGGGCTATTAACTCAGAGGCCATGAGGGCGAGAGAAATAATTGTTTTAGTAAAATCCAACTAGTTGGTCAAAAATATCGAGACAAAACAACTTTAGCTAGCAAAACGCTATTCAGCCACCATTGTTCTGGTTTTTAAAGCCGGCGCTTTTCGCTACTAGTGGACTATAACATATAGCCTAGTAGTAGCTCAACCAATCAGAACGCAGCATTGATAATAGACCACTAGTTGGCTTTTACTAAAATACAATAGTATATCAAAAGTAAGGGATGCCTTTTGAGGGCAGACTTAAACTTTTCAATATCATGTTCGCTGCTCGCTCCTCAGGCCCAGGGGGAGCATGTTCCAAATCGTTGCTCCGCTGAACCTGAAGGATAAGGGATAAGAGAGATGGTGTTTGTAGACGAAGCTGCCCTGACCGCACACACTGAGGATGCTCTACAGCTACTCATCAGCTGCTTCGCACACGCTTGTAAAGAGTTTGGTCCCACCGTCATTCCTAAGAAGACTAACATCCTTGGCCAAGACGTCAGCAGCATGCCAAGCATCTCCATTGGCAACTGCCCTCTTGAGGATGTGGAGAACTTTACTTAACTAGGCTCCACCATCTCTAGTAACCTCTCCCTGGACACCGCACTGAACCAAAGGATCGTCAAAGCAGCGGTAGCACTGGCAAACCTTGGAACGAAGGTCTGGGACAACACCTTGTTCACCATTAGCACCAAGACGAAGTTTTACCAGTCCTACGTGCTCAGCACACTGTTCTACGGCAGCGAGACCTGAACCCTCTACTCCTGCCAAGAGCGTAGACTCAACATCTTCCACCTGCGCTGCCTCAAAAGGATTTTCGACATCACCTGGGAAGAACGTGTCATAAACAAGGATTTCCTGGCACAGGCGGGAGTACCTAGCATGTTCGCCTTGCTCAAACAGCGACGGTTGCATTGGCTTGGCCACGTCAGCAGTATAGAGGATGGAAGAATTCCCAAGGACATGCCCTACGGCGAGCTTGCCACTAGAATTATACCTGCAGGATGGCCTACCCTTTGCTTCAAAAACGTTTTTAAACGTGATCTGAAGGAAGGAAATGTCAACCCAGCGGATTGGAAAGCTGTAGCTGCAGACCGAAGTCTCTGGAGGCTTGCTATCAAGGCAGGAATTTAGACGAGTGAGAAGAGGAGAGAGGAGCAGTGGGACAAGAGGAGAGAGCGCAGACGGCAGTGGACGGCATTAGCACCCACAAAACTGAGAGCGGAATTCATCTGCAGCAACTGCAACAGAGCCTGCCGATCCAGAATTGGACTGTACAGCCACAGCAGGCGCTGCAACTCAACCACAGACTAAACCTAGGCGGAGACTTCATTGTCTCCTGAAACAGACGGATGGCAACAACTAAGAAAAATGGGCTGGTTTTTTAAAAAAATTAGTAAAATAAAAACAGTCCTAAATGGTTACCCTGTTTGCCATCATCACCCCTACAGCAGCTGCCCCAGGTTTGGATCCCTCGATGCCAACGTCCCCAAGACTCGTCTTTCCATGGAGGTAGGGCACTTTACTGTTGATTGACAGAAATGAGTTCATCTTTTTGTCTCTATAACAGATTGTACCACCAGGATACGGACAGAAGCCAGATTTGTGGGGATCAACAGTGATTGTATCACAACAATGGAGAGCTGATAACTGTTCATGGACGTAGGAGCTAAGGTACATTTCTGGAACAAATCCTGCTTCTTTGGCTGTTGGCGTCGGACGTCTCTCAGGCTGCGCGCGCAGCATGCTACAGAAATATCCTCCCCAAGCTGCATCCGCGTGAATGCTAAAGTTCAGACCCTAGTTGTTAAATACAAAAATGGAGTGTTAAGAAAATGTTCCTTCAGAGTACCATATTAATCGCATTGCTAGTTTGGCTAAGAGAAACAAGGTATTTAAGGGTCTATATAGAAAAAACGAAGTAGAGATAATAATAAGGAGTTAAAGCAAATCACTACGGCAGGTGATAATACGTTTGTCGTGGACGAGGAGATCTTGGGTGAGTACTTTGACGCAGCCCACCAAGCAATAGCTTCACTGGCGAAAAATGTCTACGCTTGCGCTGCGAACATGTCTATTGTGGTAAGTTTGACAGATTACTAGTTCCTAGCTCTTGCGAAACGAGGAAACCGTGTTGTTCTCATTTACAATTTCAAAGTGTCGATAAACAACAAATCGTGATCAGTTGTGTTTCCATCATGTCTTCATTAAATTAGACTCCGGCACTGCAATGAAGTTATTTTTCATATTCTGGGTACAGTTGTTATTTTTGCGTTATTATCCGTTTCATTTTAAAGCAAGGTGGAGGTTGGGGTCTACAAAGTTAAGTTTTGTTTCACCCCAAAATTAAAATTTGGCTTCAGACCCCTGACACTTTTGTGTTCCTTTGTGATGTGGGAATTCCATTGAATGAGTGACAGTTGCACATGTTCAGTACATGCTGTCAAAATTTAATACCATGTTACTGGTGTTCCGTGATATACTTGATGTCGGATGCTTGCTTTGAGGTCGGAATTCAGTTTCCGAAATACTGTTTGTAACGCGTCGAGTTTTAAAGGTTTTAAAATGAGCGGAATTGCTGCCTACTGATAAAGTAAAGTGTCTGATTTAATTAAAAGCGATTGAAAGTTTACTCCAGCCAAATTTTGGTTTCATAGAGCATATAGAACAAAACATCTCAGCATTTTAGTTAATAGTTATTGACAATTCCTGGGTTCTTGTGAAAATCCGAACAACTAATTTGTGTTATGAGAATCGGCTTTCACCAATGAAACTACAGTTACTCTGCTGCAATATGGCGTAGAAAGTTGATATTGGTTCTGGTGTTCTTATTGCTCAAAATTGAGCTTGAAAGGGGCTCTCTAACCATCCAAATTTGCTTCTTTAAGCTATGGCTTGACATCAGTTTCCCAAGACACATTTCGAATATCTAATAAGACTCGCAAAAAACTTGTGATATGTGGTTTAGAAACTGCAACAGTGGTAAAAATGTCTCTCTTTTTTTGTCTTGCAGATGCAGCTGTCTTAGATTAGATCCATTTTATGTCTTCACAAATAAAACTAAACCGTTCTTATCTTTCTGACCGTGTTCGGTAAACTCAAATTGGACCTGATATCTCCAACAAGCAACCGATGACCTGTGGCGTCCCACAAGGCTCTGTTCTAGCACCTTTACTGTTTTATTATATCCACAAGTCCTCTGATAAATTAACATTCTACTTGTTTGCTGATGACACAAATCTATTATGTGCTGATAAAAATCTTCGAACCCTGGAGCTTGTTGTGAACCTGGAATTCCATAAAGTTTATGAATGGTTAACAGCCTACAAGCTAACGCTAAACGTTAAAAAGTCGAACTTTATTATCTTCCATCCTCACCAAAAGAAAATTAACCATCAACTTAACCTCAAAATACTTGATAATGATCCCAAACCTTTTTTGCCTTTAGAACAAAAATTGTACGTAAAATATTTATGAATAGAAAACAAAAAACTAAGACGTTCGTTAAAAAGAACAAACAAGCCATTTAAAGCTCACGTGTTAGATAATGCACCAAATCACTGCTTTAGACGAAGAAGGATGTGGCGTTACGACTGCACTCGATTGCCTGCCATTCGAAAAATTATTTGCGGTAGTAGAGCCCGCCATAGAGTTTTGCTTAAACTCCTATTGATAATGTTGAAGATGATTCATGATACGACGAAGATGGGAACGATCATGATGAGGATGATGAAGACAGTGGCCAGAATTTCAGAAATGAAGTCATATAAAGTTCACGTTATTCTTACCTTGGTTCTAAACTTTCCGCGCAAATGAACAATTGCATTCACTGGATCCACGGCGCTTTGCTCTGTTGTTCCTGTGATAGCTACTACTGTAATGACTGGAATTTCCTTATCCAACTTTTCTTTTAGTTTGCGGTTCAAATCTAAATTAAAAGTTGGTACAAAAAATGTTAATGGTCTTCGATTCAATGACCAACAACTCATGCTGATCTCAATAAACCGCACAAATGACATACATATGACCACTTGAATCAGTAAATAGGCCATCTCCGAATTGCCTCAAAAGCAATCCTCTGTTTTAAAGCGAGGGTAACTGCAAAGCCATTGATATGAAAATGATTAGTTATTCTCATGCAAGTAAAACTCATTTTCACAAGAAAGATATCTCACTTGACCTTATTTTGAAAGTGAGGTTTTTTTTGTAACTCGAAAATGGACTATTAATTACCCGGGCTGTTAATGTTAATTAAATACACCCTGTTGTTTTTCCTGTACTCGTGTTTTCTTTCTTTCTTTCCTTTTTTTAACATATAATGAATGACTTTACGAGAAAACCAAGCATAAAGAAGCGTAAGGAACACACAGTAACCCGTCAAGCAAGTAATCAATTCCAGCACATTGATAACGTCAGTACAAAAGCTAGTTTGTATTATCTTTTATGCCACAACAAAGCTAGGTTACTGTCTTCCACTGCAAGGAGAGAATGTAAATCTGAAAATGGCTATAATAGATAGAAACACGTACAGCAGAAACTTGTTCGGGGCTTCATGAAGATAACACGATAAAAACTTTACCAACCAGTAGGATCCATCCGCGAGTTTTCGTCAACTGCTACAGAGACAAGGCTCTTTCGACCAAGTCCGAGAATGGTGGCTGCTTTCGTTAAGGAACTATGCAATGTGCTTGGAACAAAAATGCACGGACTTTGCGTTAGCATATGTCGCCGTACAAACTCCTGCGCTCCAATGAACTCATAGAGATACTCTGACATAATTTCCGTAAATTCTTGATGTCCGAGGCTTGTTAAAACTTGTACATCAGAGGGCATTTTTAAAATAGTGTCGACATCAAGGTTAAGAAGTTCCCACCGTGACGCGCTGATTAATTCTGTTTCTTTTCCTCTCTGAGGGAAAAAAACCTAAACAGAGTAAAATGAACTTAGAAAAACACATAGACAATAGTAAACACTTAATGACTGGTTACCACACAAACACTGTATACACGTCAAACCAAGACCTGGTGGACGTAAATTCTATTTCACGAGTATGCTGCAAAGCTAATCAATCCTGAAAACCCCCTGTTCGTCAATAAATTCGTGCTTTGGCGCAGGACCGCAAAACTTGGAAGAGCGTGGAGGTCGACTGATGGCAACGTTGGAAGCCCCCATTAGCGCCTCAGCCGAGCAAAGAGAGATGTGGCATACCTTACTGTTACTCTTCTCGCGAGAACAGCGGACACTGTTTCTCGATCTAATTCAAGTTACTGTTGATGAAGTCTCTAAACTATTAAAAACGCCGGAGGTTAACAAGGCTACTGGCCCTGAAAAACTTCCCAATGTCGTTTTTATTAATTTGACTTGCGTAGTGGGTTGCACACCACTCAATGAAAATGTGCTAACCTCGCTCCTGTTAATAAAGAGAATGGTTAAAACCAAGTGAACAACTATCGTCCTATTTCCTTGTTATCAAAGGTATCTAAGATCCAAGAGCACTGCGTAACCTCACGTCTCGTTCCATTCATCAGGGACTGTATATTCCCTCTACAACATGGTTTCCTGTCGCGAAAATATTGTACGACTCAACTCCTTCAACTAATGCAGGATATTGGTCAAGCTCCAGATAAAGGCCTTGAAACTGACCTTATTTTCTTAGAATTTAAAAAGCCTTCGACTCAGTGTGTCAAAGAAACTAAAATGCTATGGCAGGACAACTTACCTTATAACCTTTGGCACCAAAAAGTCTATCTTCCTTAAACAAAGCTTCTTGTAGTCCCAGTGGAAAGTACTTTACATTTCTTGCCGCCCAAACTGCCTCAATGTTAGCGACAGAACCACCAGCTGTAAGATGTCCCATACATTTGTCCCTTTCATACCCCAGCATGACACACAAGTCCTTGCCCACTTCCATTTCATATTTACTTGTGACAGTGGAGGCCTCTGACGCGCAGTTGTTTTGGTTGTACAACATTGCAGACATGTAGCCAAGGTTAGCTGGCATTGCTGTGTCCCAAAGAACGTGACCCTGAGGCAAAGAAAATACGAGTTGCTCCCATGAGGTTTTAGTGGAAGCTTTTGGAACATTTAATGTAGACGTGCAAACATTAACCCTTTGGTGACCGTCAGTCTGTAGCGGAAAAAAAACGCATTTTTAACCAAATCCTCCGTTTTGACCAGTTTTCCGCCAATTAGCAGGGAAATGACTAGAAATGAGTTTTGCAACACTAAAGGCGTGTTATGCCCACCATATTGTCTTTCTTTTCTTTGGAATTGTGGCTGACCAACTTTTCAGGAAAGAGGAATATTTAATCTGGAAAGAGTACTAGGTAAATAGCAATATACTCAAAATATATACCTTGTATCTGGAACTAAAGAATGGAACAGAATTTTTTAATTCCATCTGCAATTTGTCCATCTCAGATTTCAACTTCTCCATGGCATAGTTGAAGGAACCTGCCTCCCGAAGCTCGTCTGTGACATAAGGAGGATCACAGGGAAAGTAACTGTTAAATGAAATGAACAATTATTGGATGAGGATGAGCAGGATATGAATGGTTATATTAAAATGAGTTGTTGTTGCTGTTTTTTTTTTTTTTCTTTTTATAAAATAAACAATTATTTTTACATGAAAACCTTTGCACTTGCCGTATTTTTGAAAAGTGCTTGGCAAAACTCTGAAATGCGCTATTTGACCAGCCTTAGCTAGTTATAAAGAATTAACCGGCAGATTTAAGCCAATCAAAAAAGGAAAAATATTTTGAACAAATTATAATTGGCACTATTTTTAGGACTGTCCTTGCTCTTTTTGACGAATACAAGGCTAATAGACCAATTTCGATATATTACTAAATTCGTACTTAGCTGCGAGGCTTAGGGGAATAAAAAAAATGTATTATTCATCCCTGAACCTTCAGGCGATTTCTTTTGTTTTAATCCGTTAGACCTCGGAGCCGAGCGTGAATTTTAATGTATCGAAATTGGTCTATTTAGGCAAAATTAGGTTCTGACACTGACTGCGTTTACTGATGTTTATAAAACAATTAACGGCGTTAAAAAGGTAAATTTCTTTAATATCCTGTGTTACAAAAAACCTGACAACGGTTTCGGCAAAAACTAGATAAATAAATAAAGTAACGATCTAAATAAATTAAAAATAAAAATAAATAAAAATGAAGTAGGACTTGTTATAGCCCGATTTAGTTGGGGGGAAAGCATCCTGACCGCCTTACATGTGACCCCCTGCCATAATACTTTGAACTGAGTACCTGTGACGGAATCTGATATGAGAATCGACAGCTTTCGTCAGCAATTCCCGAAAAACTTCTCCATTTTCTGCTTTGGGCCCCAAAAACCAAGCACCTAGGGATGCCCATTGTTTTTGCCTACAGACCTCGTGATCTTCTCTTGAAAATACTTCTCTTTGCTGTGAGTACATTGGGGCTGTCGACAAGAGCGCTCGCTTTGTCTATGTGTTATAATCCTCTTCTAAAGCAGAGCTTCTTCTGCTTCTCAAAATCCTTGTAAGGGAAAATAAAATAAGACTCATCTATATAAGTGTGAGTGAGCATGAGAAACAAGACGAATTGAAAAATACCTAAACATATTGTACTTTTGGTTACACGCTGGTTATAACACCAGTCTAGCAGGTGCAAAACTCTCAGTAATTATCAGCTAGAGCTTGCGTTTTTTAGTTTTTTGTTTGTTTGTTTGTTTGTTTTGCGTTTGTTTTCTCCTTATTTTTATACAGATTTTGACACGATCACAATATGCGATAAAAGTGCATCTTTCATTTCAATACACTTTGTTTAATTATGATCTAGTGAAAACAGCATTCCGATTCAACCAAGCGTGGAAACAAACGAGCTTTGTGATTGTTTTGTCGTTTCCCTCCGGCTTCCGACTCCGACAAACTGGTATTCACTGGATCGTTAGCGACGGAGTCATAAGCGGAGTAGGAAGAAAATGGAAACATTCTGATTCTTCAGACACCGACTCCGTCGCTTATGACGCGGCTACCACTCTGATTTTTTTATTTTTATTAGGTCATAAGCGCTCTTACGAATCAGCTTACGACTCCTATTCTGATTCCGTCGCTATTGAAAACCAGCCTTAGGGTGCGTTTCTTTACTAAAATCCGAGATCGTATCAAAAATCCGGATAATTAGAATTTTTCGTCAAGAAAAGAAACGATGTATCCAAAAAATGATTTTTTTTCAGTCATTTTCGACCTGCAATATCGACGGTATCCTGGGGTGCTTACTATTTGACGGAGAAATCCGGTTGGGGTGTCGAAAGCATAATGGTAAGCGATTTACCAGTTTACCGCAAAATTGCCATATCCGTTACGGTTTGAATCCAAAAAAAGGGGCGTATTTGTGTAGCGTTAGTGTGGAACAGAGAAGGAACCGAGAAATTGGTAAATGGTAAGCAACATTCCGTTTGGTTCGTACCAACTCGAATGAAAGAACTACCTCAAAACGTACTCTTCCATTTTCGGTTGGAATTTGCGAAAAGTGGCCCTAACATTTACCTTCCATCTACAATTTCCAAAATTTTCTGCAAATGGTAAGCGCCCCTGGAGAAAGAATAACACGGCTACTGATAATGTTGCAAATTGCTGATCTTTCTTTGTATTCTGGACGGTTAGCTCAAGGATACTGCTTTAGACGGGCCAAGTGAACATGAATCTTGAAATAAGATATCCACTGAAAAGGTAACTTATTGCAAGACGCGCTGGTGAAGGGGTGTCCGTAAAATGCAGAAACGGACGGCGGATGGCGCATGGCGGACGGCGAACGGCGGAAAATATTAAATAAATGAATAAAATAAATAAGTGTATAAGGTAAATATATAAGATAGATAGGTAGATAAATAAATAAGACAAATAAATAACAAACAGAATTCAAAATACTAAAAATATAAATATCAGTTGTGACATCTCTAGATCATCGGAGAGAAGATAAACAGAGTAGGCAGTTATGAAGTTTGCTCGAATGTCACTTCCCACTCGTGGCTGGGAAAAAAAGATGTGTGGTTTCTGTTGTTTCAGTTTGCTAAATTCTTTTGCGGTATTTAAGGTCCGTGCCTATGTAAAAGAGGTAAGTTAATTTTTGCGGTATCTGTATTTTATTATGTTTGTTGTTTTCTGCAGCTATTCTCCACTGCTTTAGATCTCTTCTGGATCAACTGACTCCGATAAAAAACACACATCAAAGAAAACTGACTTTTAATAAAGAGTGGAAAAGTGGGTTCGGCCTCTCGCCTAGATTCAAGCCTTTTTGAAGAGGAGTGAGAGGGGAAAGACGAAATGAATATAGTTAGCCTAACTTTAAGGGATTGTTTAGGTCTTAGCTTTCAAGGGATATACAATTATTTAGTTGTTATTATTATTATTACTATTATTACTATTATTATCATTATCATCATCATCATTATCATTATCATTATTATTATTATTATTATTATTATTATTATTATTATTATTGAAGATGAGGTCAATATTACAACTGAAGGTCAGCGCCACTCAAGGGCCGTCATCGGATCTCAAGAGTTCAAAGATCAATATTGTCGGGAAAAGGTCCTTGGATGGAAAGGAGAACTCGAAGCACTTAGTATCTGAGATAGCAAGGAGGCAGGCTCATGCAGCCTACACTGTTTTCACGAAGGGTTACAAATCCAAGTTTACCTATTTCATGCGCACAATAGAGTCGTGTGCAGATTACGTTGACCCTATCCAAGAAGCGATCGACGACTTACTTCTCCCAACACTATTCGGTCAATCGGAGCCCCTCTCTAGTGATCTGCGTCAGCTCGTTACTTTGACACCCGCTCAAGGAGGGCTAGGCGTACCCGACTTACGGTTTGAAGCTCCACAGCAGTTTGCTGCTTCTACGTCAATAACAGCACCGCACGTAGATTCTATTACCACACAGAGCATGTTCATGGTGGCAGGCGAGAATTCCACGGAGGCGTTAAAAAGACAAAATCAAGCCTTGAAAACCGCGTCGGTGAAATTGAAATGGAAAGTATTGATTCCACTCTACCCTCGGATCTGTTGCGGTCAGTTAACCAATCGAGAGACAAGGGTGCGAGCTCATAGCTTACCACAGCGCCTCTTGTCGATCAAGGCTTAGTGCTGAATAAACAAGAATTCAGAGACTCTCTGCGTTTAAGGTATAATATGCCCCCGTCCGACTTACCAAGCAAGTGTGTTTGTGGTGAGAAGTATACCGTCTGCCATGCTTTGTCATGCAAAAAGGCAGGGTTCGTGGCGCATAGACACGACGGTGTTCGCAACCTAATAACCTCACTTATTGGTAAGGTTTGCACCAACGTTGAAGTCGAAACACAACTACAACCTCTCGATAATGAGAGATTCAATCTCAGAAGCGCGGTAACAAGCCCGGAGGCAAGACTGGACTTCAAGGCAGGGGGGCTTTTGGTCTCGTGGAGTTACAGCATTTTCGATGTCAGAGTAACGCATGTTAACTCCAAGTGTAACCAGGAAAAAGCAACATCCACAAACTTTAAGGAGCAGGAGGAGGAGAAAAAGTGGAAATACCAACAGAGGGTGCTGGACGTTGAAATGGGATCTTTCACTCCCCTAGTTTTTGGAACCAACGGTGGGATGGGAGCCGACTGCAACTATTTTCTTAAACGCCTAACCGACAAGCTCTCAGAAAAGAGTGTGGAACCTTATCACATTACTATTACTTGAATTAGAACATTGCTTTCTTTTGAGATTTTAAGGTCGGTACACACATGCGCAAGAGGTTCTAGGACACCCTTCCACAAAATTCCACAAGGGGATTTAATTGATGACTGCCGCTTAAACGCTACCCAAGCGTGTGTGATAAGGGCGTGAGCTCGTAAATTAGTTTAGTTGAAATGAACCGTTTTTTTTAATTGAATTTTTTTTTTCGAATATATATATTTTTGATGGAATGAATTTTTTCAATCGAAATTAAGAGTCCTTTTCTCAATCGAAAGGAATTGTAAATAGTGCTTTGACTGAATAGTTTTTTAAGCAAAATAACGTAAATAGGATTTTATAATTAGCTTTATTATCAATAAAATTTCCATTTGTTATTATTATTATTATTATTATTATTATTATTATTATTTTCATTTTTCATTCAATTTGGTCTCACTTTAGTAGCAGGGGCGGAAATTCAGAAGGGGGGGCGAGACACTTGCCCTCATATAGATGCTATTTATTTTACTGACAATTCTTTAAAAATAATATAAAATTTCACACAAAAAGTGGTGGCCGCAGTTCACACAGCTGACTCCTAAATTCACCCATGCTTAGGGTGTTCAGGACGGAAAGCTCATATTCTTACCCACAAATGTTTCGGTTAGGGTTGTATGAAAAGAAATACCTAAATAAAAATTTCACAAATGCCCTTACTGCGACAGTGATCTTAATGAGTCACTGAATAAAGCCGGAGCCTGGCCTGAGCTACGTCCATGATGTTCTCCATAGCAAGGTTTTTAAATTCTAATTTTCCGACGAGCATCCCCGTCATATATATGTGCATGGCAGTCCTACCCCATCCTCCACCCACACTGGATGAACTGAGAGTAAGGTTAGTCATTTTTGTTTCGAAGTTTTTCAAAAGGCAAAAATTAAGACGTTTAATTTTTTTTTTAATTTCCAAACTCATTGTCGAGGCTGGCCTTCCTTTGCTACAATTCATGCACGCAAGCATGCAACATACCGCACGTGCTTTCTGAAAACCAAGAAGAATGCTATTTCTGGGAAAATTGGATCAGTGATGGCACGTTTGCTACTCCGCGGCGAGGAGAACGATGAGTAGCAAGGCTCGCACAAAGTCAGAAGGATGGCCATAAGAGACCGGATTTCTTCCACTATTAGAGATTAACATGTGAATTATTAAAGTAAATCATTCTTTAATTTTATAACTGTTGTGCGTGGTGTATTAGGCCGCAGATTGACTAACTACAATTGTTTGAGGACACAAACTCGAAGCGTGAGGCCCACGAGCGGTCGCGAGAGGCGCGGAGTACTCTTTCGTCCGCATCGTGGCTCGATTGAAGTAGCCCAAGGCTTTGAAATTAAACGAAAAATGAAAACATTAAAGAAACAACTAAATAAATCTTTATCCCTGAAAGCTGAGACTTATAAGCAGTCCCTTAAAGTTCAGCTAACAGAAGTTATTTTGCCTTTTTGCCCGGGGAGGTACTCCTGGGAATTCTTGGTGGGGGTGTACCGCCGGGTTCTCCAAATCCTGAACTTCAGACCAAAAAATGTCATTTTTTCACACTCGTTTTCACACCTGGCCTTTAATAAATTATGCCATCATTATCATCATTACTTGATAGATCGGATTGAGTATGTCTAAATGTCGCGAGGCGCGACTCGCAAGTAGAAGTCGCGGCTGCGGGTAGGTGTCGCGGGTAAAAATAAATCAT